TGACCGACATCCTTTACATCTTTCAGTGCATCGGGCTAGCCACTTCAGTTTGAAGGCGTGTTTGATTGCACGTACAGTTTCCAAGGCGCAGCCGTAAAAGGTCAGTGTTATGTCTCTGGCGACATAGACTTGGTGCAGAACAAATCAGTGCACTGAGAATCTATCCCATAATGGATACATTATCTACAGGGGAACATTATCGGACGGCGGAGGTAGACGCCGTTATTTCCGAGCACAAACAAAATAGTGCAGCTAAAATGATAGCAGAATTTTACCCAGAAATCCTCGAAGCAAAATTGGGAAACTGCACAAGAGCTAAAGCAATGCTGCTTCCTAAATCTGGTGCCAAGCCGGTTTTCCGTCCAAAGAGACCTGTACCGTATGCGGCGCAAGCAACAGTTAATCAAGAACTGGATCGTCTTGAACAGCAAGGGGTGATATCGAAAGTTGAATATTCGGCTTGGGCAGTGCCGATAATAGTAGTGAAAAAGGCTAACGGCAAAGTACGTATATGTGCCGACTTTTCAACAGGTTTAAATGAAGCACTGAAGTTGCATCAGTACCCGTTTCCGCTTCCAGAGGAAATATTCGCAGCCTTAACCGGAGGCCGGTACTCCTGGCAATTAGATTTTGCGGATGCATAATTGCAGGTTCAAGTGGATGAAGGTTCGGGAGAACTGTTGACTATAAATACGCATAGAGGTTTGTATCAGCAATTACTAAAACTCGGTTCGGCTCGTGTCTTACACGACTAGCCAAAAATTTTTTGTATGGACGACGGGTAGGGTTGCCCGTTAAGCCTTGTGCTACAAATACGGCGAGGGCTATTGAAACCTAAAACCTAGTCGAAAGCGTACCGGCTGCCGGTACGAGGATGCGTTTTTTGCACAGTTCCCCCTGCAGGCTTTTTTCGCCAGTGCCACGTTCTTCCTGGCAGGTGCTTCTACCTAAAACAATTGTGGCTGGCCACCACGACTGTTAGAAATTATTACAATGATTCCCAGTTCATGCCCAAAAAATTCAGCGCTCTCGATGCTTCGGTTGCGGAGTTACACCAAATTCCATGTGTTAGTACGTGAGTAGCAACGTGGAGTGTTTTCTTCGCTTGGGCTTACTTAAAGACGGCCCTAGGTAGTGCTCAAAAAGTTTCAGTACTCAAGCTTCTCTGGTTGCAGAGTTATGTCATATTTCACGTGTTCGTACGTGAGTGGCAGCGTCAGTGCTTTCTTCGCCCGCGTTTGGTCAAACACGGCCTTGGGTAGCGCTCGGAAAGTCTCAGCATTTCAGCTGCTCTGGTTGCAGAGTTACGTCAAATTTCACGTGTTCCTGCGTGAATGGTAAAGTGAATGCTTTCTTCGCTTGGGATTACTTAAACACGGCCCTGGGTAACGCTTAGGAAGTTTCAGCACTTCAGCTGCTCTGGTTGCGGAGTTACGTCAAATTTCACGCATACGCACATGTTCGTACGTGACATGCAGAAGAGCTGACAAGTACTTTACTTTCACGGACGCAACAGTGGGCAACAAGCTGCAAAATTGCAGCTCTCTGTAGCCTATTGATCACCTTAAATTTGAAGTTGGCATGATGCCAGTTTGAAATTCGACGTGTGCGTACGTGAGTCCTGAGGGTGCTTGAAGGCTGAATTTGAAATCTTTGAAGTAGACGCAGCCAAGGAACAATTCTGCGAAGTTCTAGCCTTCTAGCATGGGCCGTCCCCGAAAACGCTTTCCTGCCAAAAAAACTTTCACGTGCCCCGTACGTGAGAACCACGCGGACCTGAGCGTCCATTTTGAGGATACGAGCCCACGTGCGTGTAGATTAAGTCACCAAATTTTCAGCCTTGTAGCTTTTGTGGATCTCGAGATGAAAACTCGTTACAGACGCACACACAGACACACACACACACACATACTACAGACACACACACACACACACACAAAGACAACCCCTCGACAATATGCGTTTTTGCATTGCACAGCTGCAAAAAACGCATTAAAAGGGAAAGGGAAGGAGTTTTATGGCCTCTCAGGTCATCCGTATGTGATCTGCTAGGTATACGGTAGGCACATTTTACAGCTCGGTTAAGGTCATCTATACACCTACGTTAGCAACGCCCATTTTTTTCCCCTGTATAAGCGTAAGTTTTGGGCACGGAGCTCAGTAGTCTCCCACTCACTGGGACTGAGTAGCGGGGGCGAGTTGTTCGCCCACTGCCCTCAGTTCTCACCAATATTATCCCCTGTTTTTCCCTTTTTCCCCTTTAGTTTTTATGCGTTTTTGCCGTGCAGCGCTAGAGCGCTGCAACAGGCAGCAAAAACGCATAT